GCAGCAAATGCAGCAGCGGCAGCAACTGCAGCAGCAGCGCTTGGAAGTTGCAGTCAGCAGCCGCAACGCGAGGCTAACGGCTAGTGGAAGACGGCAGAAATGAAACTGTCTTTTGTAATTTCTATGATTCGGGGCCCGGTTGCTAGCTGCTTTTGCTGCTGCAGCTGCCGCCGCCGCTGCTGCTGCTGCTGCTCGACTTGGCTCCAGCCACAGCTGCATGCGCCTTCTACGGATCAGGATCAAAAGCAGCAGACACCGCAGCAACTGTATTTTTAGTTGTACATACACCCCAATCTCTGCTTCCTTTGGCTGGCAGCGGGCGCTGCCTCGGTCTGCTGCTCTGCTGCTGCCGCTGCTGCTGCTGTCTTTGTAAGCGTAAGGGCCGCAACAGCAGCAGCGGGACCAGCTCCGCTGTCTGTAGCAGCAGAAGTAGCAGCTGCCAGCTGCTTTTGTGAGCCCAGCTGTTGTTCCGGGGGCTCAGGCCTCCCCATTGCGGCGGAAGCAGTGCCAGCAGCAGCAGCAGCAGCATGCTACAGCAGTAGGGTTCGAGATTGCTGCTGCCCATGGCAGCTCCTCAGGGGCCACAGGGGTTCCAGGAGCCCCATGGTGCTGGTGCTGCGGTCCCAAGTCCTGCACCAGCAGCAGCAGCCAGCGGAACAGCAGCAGCTACGGCTGCACCTCCCGTTGTTGTACCAGCAGCAGCAGCAGCACCAGCTCCTAATGCAGCAGCAACATCACCAGCGGTCGCTGCAGCGGCAGCACCACCTGCAGCAGTGACGCCAGCTGCTGGAGGAACTGCAACGCCAGCTTCTGGAGCAGCAGCAGCACCAGTTGCTGGGATAGCACCTGCCGCATCAGCAGCACCAGCCGCCGCACCAGCAGCTGCTGCAGGTGCAGCACCAGCAACACCAGCTGCCGCAGCTCCTGCTGCATCTCCCGCCACGGCTGCTTCTGTGCGGGGGCAGCAGTGCATTCAGTTGCTGCAGTCGCAGCTAAGCAGGAGTGCGCTGCAGCTCATAGGGAGCAGCAGCAGCAGCAACAGCAGCGGCACCACGGATACCAAGATCCTATTGCCGCAGCAGCGGCCTTTGCTGCAGCAGCAAACGCTGCTGCAGCGGCCGCCACTCTGCAGCGCCCCTGGTCTTCCGCTGTACACAGCAGCGACTGTTCCGAGCCATCCGCTTCTCAAGCAGCAGCTGCCACTCCCGCAGCAGC